CCAAAACTCGCGTTTGAATCATCAGTGGCAAATCCTTTAAATGAAAACGTACTTACAGTCTGTGAGTCAGAGCAGCCGTCATTGTAGTCTACTCTCCCAGGATCAGGAAACAGTCCTCCATAAAATGTGCTGCACACATCTGAATATTTGGGTTGAACTGTTCTAGAACAGTGTTGTAAATACAACTTAACCACTGATTTCTAGTCGTATCCTCTTTTGGAAGACCAAACAAAGTTGTTTCGCTTTCACAACAAAACACAGCGTCAACCACAGCCTTTTCAAGAAGAGGCGGCGGGCTGAGTGAGCAGGGGCGGCGGGCTGTATTAGTATTATATGTAGTATTTCCTCAGCAACCAGCGTGGATCAGCTCCAGGCATGACAAAGCAGATATCGTCCTCTTTTGGAAGACCAAACAAAGTAGTTTCGCTTTCACAACGAATCATTCACAGAATAAAAGTTACGCCTTCTTTCTTTGCGTGAACATTTGGGTGCATTTTGTTTCGAAACTCTCTCTGTCCAGAACTTGTTTGTCTACACTGAAATGTCTAAAAAAATGCTTTAATCACTGTGCATGCATAAAATATGATAAAAGCTTAATAAGATGATAGACCAGACATGAAGTTCTCATTCATCTGGCATGATTATTTTATTAGCAAAATATCCCACTCTAAGTAATAACACTCTAAGAAAAATCTGTGAAGTAGGGCCCAGTGTAATGTGTTAACATGAAGGAATTTTCCTTATTGATTACACAGGTGTTTTGCCTGTATTTTGAATTGCACTGCATTGTGTTGCTTTATGGTTGGAGGAAATGGTCCAGACATTCATTATTTTTAAACCCTTCAATTTTCCACACTATAATGCAAAAACAGTGTTTTCAAATGTGAGAGAGCTCAGTTTTCGCTGGACAAAAGCACTGTTTCCGTTTGGGTGGAAAGTCAAAATGTAGGGAGAAAGATGCATTTTCAAATTTATGTAGATTGATATGGATGTAGCCTAATATTTACATTGATAAATCAATTATACTCACTCCTGTTACTGTTAGTCAGTCCTGTTACTTTTTATATGAATAACAGGGCTGAAAGTAACAGAACTGAGATTTTAGGGATTGATATAATTTCGTATAGCTGTTTTAATCGTAATATTTTTTTATTATTATTATTATTTATAATATTTTGTTCCCAGTGATATAATGACAGATCCGAATCTAAATTATACCATGGACTCATCTATAGAGACTGAACAACAGTGTGACTCTGAGTTAAAAATAAATGAATAAATAAACAATACTGTTTGTAAAAAGACTTACATCGCAGTGTATTGATGTGTTTTACAACATTTCTGTATATCTGTTCTAGACAACATGTTTCCCAGCCTGACCATTGTGTTATTTGGAAACTCTTCATCAGTTCAGTATGGAAATGAAAACATTCTACTTGGAGAAAAACAGACAAATGGAGTATCCAGGATTGATCCTTTACAGAGGAAGATATCAGAACGTCACGTCTCTGTGATCAACATGATTGACTTTCATGAGACTGAACTTTACCTGGTCTCTGTGCATCATCTCATTGTTCAACTAGTGAATGAAAATGAAAACCATGCCTTCATCTTTGTTGTGCAACATGGCCAGTTAACCAATAATGATAAGATGGGTCTTGAATGGCTTCAGAGAGTGTTTGGTGACAAAGTTCTTCAGTTTGTGATGATTCTCTTCACCTATGAGACAGAAGAAGAGTGTGACACTATAAATGATGATCTGAAGAAAAACCCTGTTCTGGAGCAGCTGCTGGAGAAATGTGGAGGAAGATATCAGGCCTGTAACAAGATGATGAACAACCAATCAGAGATGAGAGACCTGATGAACAAGATTGAGTGTCTGTATAATGAGAATCAACAGCAGTGCTGCACTGGAGAGATGTTCAACACTGCATCAATAAGGAGAAAAGAGCTGGAAAACAGTGAACATGAATGTGGTAAAAAATTACATTTTTTTCCCCTGTCTATTTCAAATGTTTTTTGCATGTTTCTTATAACAGGTTTTTACAGAGATTTTATTATTTTTGGTTTAGGCCACACACACATTAAATGCACAACTGAACTTAGTTTTACTGGGGAAAAAACGAGCTGGGAAAAGTGTGTCAGGAAACACAATACTGGGATGAGAAGTTTTCACATCAAAGAAAAGCTCCAAATCAGTCACTAGAGATGTAGCTGTGACATCTGGAACTGTTAATGGGTTTCCAGTCACTGTTTATGACACACCTGGATTCTGTGACCCAAAGATGAGTACAGAAGAGATTCAGCAGAAACTTGAAAAGGTTATTCAGAAATGTGAATCTGGTCTCTGCGCGTTTCTGCTGGTCATCAAAGCTGATAATTGTACTTAAGAAGAGAGAAAAACTGTGGAGAAG